TATATGAATAGATTTATTTATTGATTATATGAATAAATTTGTTTACGGATTATATGAATAGATTTGTTTACTGATTATATGAATTTGATCTATTAAAACCCTAAATTTGTTTATGAGGTTTCTTCTGTTAAAAATGGTTTAGGGGTTTCTTTTGTTAAAAATTTGTTTATGATAATATATGTGTTTATTATGTTTATTGGCTTTTTGTTTCTGATAATATGTTTATTGATAATTTGTTTGTAGTAATGATAATTTTGTTGGGTATTTGCATGAATGAGATACTGATAAAATATGTTTTGCATGAAATTAGTGAACCAATTTTTGTGACCTCTACGTGATTAATAAGATAGAATATACATATTGTTTTTCACCTTTTATATTTGTCTATTTATATCACTTTTGCAGTGCACATGTCCTAATATTTAATTTTGCAATTGTTGTGATCCCCACATATTCTGTGCATTATGTTTATTTTATTAAAAAATAGAATTTTTTTTGCCTCTTGTTTAAATAATAATGATATTTTTAATGAAGAGATTTGAACTCTAAGAAATTTACAACTATAGTATATCATAGACTTTTTTATTAAGAGACCAAGGCTAGAATACGTTGACATACTAGTGAATTACTTTGATAATTGTGATGTTGATGAAATATCCTTTTATACAGTTTCTGATATGATATCCTTGAAATGCTTAGAGATTTACCAAGTAGCCATTATATTCACATTTATTTGAAAAAAAAAATATAAGGGATAATGAACATAATCAAAACTGGACTGAACATAATGAACATGAAATTAATGAGGTTGAATCATCTGAGGTAAGGATAGAGTATGATTCAAAAAAGATTATGAGTATGAAGTCTCATAATCAAGCAATAAAGAACGTGACTTTAGTGCTAGTGAAAATAATTTTGAAAATTCAAAAGATGAAGTCTATGATGTAAATATTGGGTTGGACAATGATGAAATGAGGGTTGTGAGTGACTCTGAAGATAGACATTTTGACTCATTATATAGTGTAGATGAGTCAGATTCTGATGGTCAACATAAGAAAACTAGTTACCTTGAATTTAGCAATGATATTGACATCTTAAACTCTAAATTAAAGGTTGGGTTGATCTTTACTAACAATATAATATTGAGAAAGGCAATTGAAATTTATGGTATTAAAAATAGATAAAATGTCAAATTTAGAAGAAATGACAACAAAAGAATCCAAAGTAAGATATAAGCCATGGTGTCTTTGGTTTTTATGGGCCTCTCCAGTTAACTCGAAAGATTCTAATGATAGTAATTGGCAAAATAAGCCACTGCATAATGAGGAGTTTCAAAATGCCAATATAACTATTAAGTGGATAACAAAACAATATTTAGAAGCATTCCATGTTGATCCCAATTACTCTGTTAGATCATTTAAGCAAGTTGTGTGTAATGATTATGAAATTATGGTATTTAGATATGTGTTCTAAAGCTAAGTTCACAGCTCTTGAAAAGCTACATAATAACCACTAAGAACAATACATCAAGTTATATGATTACTTAAGTGAGCTTAGGTATACAAATCCAGGATCAACCACTGTATGCTACTTGGATGAGAGAGTATTCAAGAGGCTCTATACTTGTATGCAAGCAATAAAGGATGTCTTCAAAGCAGGGTGTAGGCCCATTATAAGTCTGGATGTTGAAGGGATACTGTAGGGTCATCTGCTAACTACTGTTCAGATTGATGCAAATGACTCTATTTATCCTTTAGCTTTTATAGTTGTAAAGAGTGAGAATCAATATTCTTGGTGTTGGTTTTTAAAATTATTGGGTAATGATTTGAAGTTGAATAATTCTCACATATTAACATTAATAATTGGCAGACATAAGATATTTATTCTAATGCTAAGACAACATATGTTTGGGAGTTCCAATTTGTCATGGAAGGAATGAAGGTATATCTTTATTGTATATGTATACTATTTTACATGAGTTAATGTTGATAAATATTTTTAATGAATTTAAATTCGTCAATGTAGTTTTTATCAGGGATAACACACAAGTGGCTGTTAGACAAAGATCATGAACAGTGGTCAAAGTCACATTTCTCTTTCAAAGTCAAGTAAAAAAATGTTGTTAAACAAACTTTACGAGTGTTTAAATAAGGTGAATATGACAAATAACATATTTATTTAAAAATATATTTTTAATATAGTATAATATTTTTTATTTTATAATTAATTGATACTTGAAACTAGAACAACCCAATTATTACATTGGTGGAGTTTATTAGAACAATGATGATGCAATAACTTGCAAAAAAGAAAAAGATCAAGCTAATAAGTTTTATGGGCCTGTATGCCATAAAATTCAAAAGAAGCTATACAATGTAATATCACAAGCAAATAAGTATAACTAGTTATTGCATACTGTTAATGCTTATATGTTCTTTTTGTTATACTAATGTTTTTCTTTATGTTATACAAATGTTGGCCCATTCATGCTGGTGAACCTACATTCCAAGTTTCATGTGTTCCTTTAATTCAATATTGTGTAAACCTTGAAACTCGAATTTGTTCTTGTAGAAAATGAGAACTAACAAGTCAATTTAATTTTTTATTAATATAATATTCATTTATTTTTCTATATTTTTAATTACTAATTATTTTTTCTCACATGCATTATTTGTGTCCATGCAATTTTTATCATAGTAATGAGTCATGAAATACCAGAAACGTTTGTTGACCAGTGCTATTTAGTGAAAACCCAAATGGGTATATACTCTTATTTGATCAAACTAGTAAAAGGTCATAATCAGTAGACTCCTATTAAAACAACAGAGCATATCCTACTACTTGTCTTGAGAAGGCCCCTAGGAAGACCACATGAGAAAGAAGAAATGAGGTTGATGAAGCATCACCCCAGACTGGTAAGGTGAAAAAGAGGGGAGCTAAACTATTCTATAGGAAATATGGAAAGTCTGGACATAATGTTAAAACATACAAGAGTCATGTTAGTGGTAGTGTCAGACACCTCCAACAAACATTTTCTACGAGAAGATCAAAGATGTTAGTTAGTAAGTTGTACTTGAGACATTTTTGTATCAGCTGAATTATTTGTGATTGAATTAATTTTTTATTGTAATTTAGAAGAACAAATCAATCTCTAACACCAAATCAAAATACCATGCAAAATCAAACAACCAATTTACTAGTCCATACTATCATATGAGTGTCCACTCCCACTGCATCAACGAGTCAAAATAGTTGTGTTACTCAGTCATCTTCTCGCCAACAAGGCTATAATGTTAGATGGATGTCCACCCCCTCTATCTATATAAGTTAGGATTCTTTTGCCAGTCAATCATCTCCAAAGAGGCATACGAGTGATACTTGATTCTATTGGCAACATAAACCTTTTGTTTGGTGTTTTTTTGATAAATGCATTTGACTATTGTGTTTTGATTAGTTGATATTGTTAGGCTTTTTGTTGATAGTTAAAAAGAGCTTATATATGTTCAAAGAATTAGTATGAAAACATATTTTCTTGTTTCTGTATGTTTATCAAACAATGAATGCAATGCTATTTTTTTAATGTTTTCTTCATCAAAACAAATTTAAATTCAACTTACAAATTTAATATTTCATTAATAGTTAAAAGCATAACATTGACAAATCATATTACATACATAGTATCCTAAATCAATCTTACAAATAATACGAGAAAAATATAAGAAAAAAAAGACAACAAAATATTACCCTAAATCACCCCACAAAGAAAACAACAAAAGAAGATAATAAAATAAGACAACATAGTTAACTGATTATAAATTTCAATATCACCCCCACAAAGAAGATGACAAAAAAAGTGAAATTTCACCAAAGTTTGCGTTTCGTTTCTTCCTCTTCCATTGCTCCAATATTTGTTAGAAGATCAACAATAATAACTGTTGACCGATAATTTACTGGTGGATCATACTAGCAAAAAAACTTACAAACCCTAACTTATTTTCCATAACTTCTACATCCCCAAAACCTCCTACCAAGAATTTCATCGGTCCAGCTTGTTGTTAGCATCGAACGAACTCCACAAAAGCACACCCAATTCGTATTTTTTGAATCCATATTTCGATTCCAACCTTCTTTTTACTCTTATTCTTTTTTGCTTTACTCTTTATTTCTTCTATTTAATTAGTTACTTTAGGGTTTTTAGAATAGGAGGGATTTTGAAATACAAGGGGTTTTAAATAACAACAAAGAGAGCTCACTTCTTTTTTCATATGGCATTTTGATGTGGTCTTATGAATATACAACATGGAAATAAAAAAGGTTATACAAAAACTACGTCAGACGCACTGTTAGTATTTTAATGAAGAGTGGTTTGATTGAACCATTTAAAAAATTAGGTGGTCAGATTGATTAAATCAAAACATTGATGGTCAAAATGGTTTTTGACCATAGGTAGGTGGTGACTCGTGTAATTTATCCTAAAATATAAAAAATAGAAAATAGTAATTATGGATGATTAACACTAAGTTTGTACAAATGTCAATGAAGAAAGATAAAGAAAAGGACAAGTTACGAAAAGAAAAACTAGGGCTTGTATATCTTATTAGAATTTTTTTGATTAATACGAGTAAGTGCATAGTAATATCTGTCTAAATATAACTCTTAACTTTTTAACATTGAATGTTCAAACCCTTAACATTTATAGTACTCGAATTCAGATTGAATTCAGATTCTCAAAGAATAATAATAATTCTTTTATCATGGAGACCACTTAATTCATGCTACTATTAGAATTATAATACACTAATACCATAATGAAAAATATATATCAATTTAAGTACCAAATACTAATATCAACCCTCTAAAATAGGGAAAGAAACGGCGCCGTGCGGGCAGTATGATTGATTCACAAGCAGAGTAGAATCCGCGATATATCGCCAAAAAATTAAATGTTTAAAAAATAATGAAACGAGAAGAAATTAAATTAGAGAGATAAGATTAAGATAAGAGCCAACCACCGAAATTCGAGACAAACAAAAAACCCTAGAACTCCAAAATATCGCGATATAAATAATAAAACTTCCAGATCTGCAGTCTACGTTTATCTCTCCGTCGAGACGACCAATCTCTTTCTTTTTCTTTCAGTAAGATCCTTAAATCTCTCGATAATTTCTCTTTCCTTTTGTGTATATACTTTCCGAGTTCCGATTCACTTTTAATTTTCATTTTTCTCTTTGCGTTTTGAAAACGAACAAATCATTTTCTCGCTTCTTCCCTTGTTTTCAATATTTCGAAAACGCTTTTATTGGATTCTGTGTTTTTTTTTTTAAATTCTAGTCTTGTGTTTGGTTGCTGAGAAAATGGCCGTTAACGGGAGGAGGAAATTCCGAATTTTAAACTTCAAAGTTTTCCAGCTGAGTTCTTCTCTGTTTTGGTGGGAAAAAAGGATTTTGCAAGATGAACATTTTAAACACTTCACTGTTGCGAGCTGATGATACAAAACAATCATTCAGGGAAACAAAAATGTCACTGGAACTTCAAATTTTCTTTATTTGAAAATTTGATCATCTAATGTTTGTTGTGCTAGCACTTAATATGAAATTTCTTTTGAATTTGCTTTCTTTTCTAGGTCAAATTGAAGAACTTAAAAGTCGTTTCCTCCCATTACCAGTAAGCTCTCTCTCTCTCTCTCTCTCTCTCTCTCTCTCTCTCAGTTGCATGAACTTGTTTGAATGTAATAATTTGCTTCAATTGTCAATTATAGTTTGATTTCGTAGTCATAAAAGTCGGAGAAATTTACGGTTATCATGTACTCTTAATTTTCTGGCAGTGGTTCGGGAAAAAGATGTGTGTTGGGAATATGCTGAGAAATTAGATGGAAACAAAGTTAGATGCAAATTTTGTCTTAGGGTTTTGAATGGTGGAATCAGTAGGTTAAAGCATCATCTATCTCGTCTTCCAAGTAAAGGTGTAAACCCTTGTAATAAAGTTAGAGATGATGTTACTGATAGGGTTCGAGCTATTATTTCATCGAAAGAGGATGTTAAAGAAACTTCTAGTGTTAAGAAGCAGAAGATAGCTGAAGTTAGGGCTCCTGGAAATATGTCTGCCAGTAGTAAAATTACTACTCTAGAGGCATCCTCTCCAGTGTCAAAAGTTTTCCCCGCTGCCTTATCTATTGCTGCTTCGACGTTGAGCGACCAGGAAAACGTGGAGAGAAGCATTGCTTTGTTCTTTTTCGAGAATAAGTTGGATTTTAGTGTAGCTCGTTCTTCGTCGTATCAAGCAATGATTGATGCAGTTGGAAAGTTTGGTCCTGGATTGATAGGTCCATCTGTGGAAACCTTGAAGACGGTTTGGTTGAAAAGGATCAAGTCTGAGGTGAGTTTGCAATCAAAAGATGCGGAGAAGGAATGGGCTACTACAGGATGTACGATCATTGCAGACACATGGACGGACAATAAAGCTAAAGCTTTAATCAACTTTTTGGTTTCGTCGCCCTCGAGGACCTTTTTCCACAAGTCTGTAGATGCATCCTCGTATTTTAAGAGTACAAAGTGCCTTGCTGATTTATTCGATTCTGTTATTCAAGATATTGGCCCGGAAAATGTTGTTCAAATCATCATGGATAATAGTTTCAACCACACTGGTATTTTGAACCATATTTTGCAGAATTATGGAACCATTTTCGTATCTCCTTGTGCTTCTCAATGTTTGAATCTAATATTGGAAGAATTTTCTAGGGTAGATTGGGTGAACCGGTGTATCTTACAAGCACAAACATTATCCAAGTATCTATACAACAATGCATCGATGCTTGATTTAATGAAGAAGTTCACCGGGGGACAGGAGCTCATAAGAACTGGAATAACAAAGTCTGTTTCCAGCTTTCTATCATTGCAATCAATTTTGAAACAGAGATCAAGACTAAAGCATATGTTCAATAGTCCTGAATATTCAACTAACTCCTCGTATTCAAATAAACCGCAGAGCGTTTCTTGCATCGCCATTGTCGAGGACAATGACTTTTGGAGAGCAGTAGAAGAATGTGTGGCAATATCTGAGCCTTTCTTGAAGGTGTTGAGGGAAGTGTCTGGATGGAAACCTGCTGTCGGTTCTATATATGAACTAATGACCAGAGCCAAGGAATCGGTTAGGACATACTATATAATGGATGAGAGTAAGTCGAAGACATTTTTGGACATAGTTGACAGACAATGGAGGGACCAACTTCATTCACCTTTACATTCTGCCGGGGCATTTTTAAATCCTAGTATCCAGTATAATCCGGAAGTAAAATTTCTGGGATCTATAAAAGAAGACTTCTTCAATGTTCTAGAGAAACTACTTCCCACACCCGAGTTAAGACGTGACATCACCAATCAAATTTTCACTTTTACCAGGGCAAAGGGGATGTTTGCTTGTAATCTAGCAATGGAGGCACGAGATACAATTTCTCCTGGTACGTATGCAGGTTTCTGTTCGCCATTGCTTGCTTCTTGTGTGTGCATGTGTGTGAGCAGCCCCTAGTCTTTTCGCTTTTTCACCCTTTAAAATTTTCCTCCGTTGCTAGGAAATTGAAACAGTTCTTTTATTAAAATGCATATATCCAATGAATTATTAGCTTTTCGTTCTTCAAGGATTAATTTGCTGGTGATCCTGAAGTTCAATACTACGTCTGCTTTTATCACTTGCAGGGCTCTGGTGGGAGCAGTTCGGGGACTCGGCACCTATGTTGCAACGGGTTGCGATTAGAATTCTTAGTCAAGTTTGCAGCACTTTTACTTTCGAGAGGCATTGGAGCACATTCCAACAGATTCACACGGAGAAAAGGAATAAGATCGACAAGGAAACATTGAATGATGTTGTGTATATTAACTACAACCTCAAGTTAGCAAGGCAGATGAAAACAATGTCAATGGATTCCGACCCTATTCAGTTTGACGACATTGATATGACCTCAGAGTGGGTAGAGGAAAGTGAAAACCCTAGCCCGACGCAGTGGCTTGATCGGTTCGGTTCTGCTCTGGACGGGGGTGACTTGAACACCAGACAGTTCAGTGCTGCCATGTTCGGCAATGACCCTATCTTCGGCCTGTGACTCATCGTATCTAGTATCTGTACCATCTTGTGTTAGAAACTTAGAATGAGATTAGTATTTATAGTTAGTTTGGTTTGGTTTAAATTATTGAAATGAAATCTGGAGTGGCCACGCATCAATGGCGCTGTTTAACTCTGTTAATGCATGAATGAAATCTGATTCATTATGTCATTATATCATGGTAAAATCTTTATCTTAAGAGTAAAAAACATTCAGAGAATAGAGATCCTTAATATGCATGGCTTTAGTGTTTCTCAATGTAATTGTTTTGGAGGACTAAAACTGAAAATTAAAGAGATTAAGGAAGAAACATTTTAGAGGCCGGAAAAACAAGATAGGACTCAGAATTTTCATTCCGTTATTTGATAAGATGAAATCTTATAAATTTGAGGTTTCAACTCAGAATGTAGAATGACAATTTTTACCATTGTTTTTAGTGTTATGATGTTTTCTCACAAAGATTTTAGTTCCTCACGGAACTCAGACCAAAGGGACCGGTGATCTTCAACCATGACTGAGATAGATGGTTCTGATAACCTTTTCATCAAATTTGAAAAAATAATAGTAATAAGTAATAATTTAAATAATAAGTGAATGACCAAACAAGTAATTTACCCTAAATTTACTAGAACTTTTTGATTTTGTTTGGACTGCGTGTTTTATTTAGAGAAAATCGCCTCAGTGACCAAAAATGCCTTATAATATACGATTTTAACCAATTTTTTTTGGATTTGCCAAAATGACCAACAAAATCGCAACGCGAAATAAAAATCGCAACGCGATCCCCAGAATCGCAAATCAGTTTCCAAAATCGCAACGCGATTCTTGAAAATCGCAATGCGATAGTACAAATTCACATTGCGATTTTCAAGAATCGCAACGCGAATATGAAAATCGCAACGCGAACACATAAATCGCAACGCGTATCCGTAAACCGCAACGTGTATTCGTAAATAGCAACGCGTATCCGTAAATCGCAATGCGTATCCGTATATCGCAACGCGTATCCGTAAATCGCAACGATAATCCGTAAATCGCAACGAGAATCTGTAAATCGCAACGATAATCCGTAAATCGCAACGAGAATCTGTAAATCACAACACTGAAATTTTGGGTATATAACTACGCAACAGCAGCAAATCATAAACTAAATCCCTAAATCGCAACTCATTCCATCTCCATCTATCACTCTCTCCGGCGACATCCGTTCCTATATCCAACGACATCCTTCCCAATCCGGCAACAGGTTTTAGTTTCGCAGCTCGTCTGTTTAGTAAATTAATTTACAACCATGAAATCATCTAATGTTGATCATGTTTGGATAGATTTGTGTTTTGGAGGGTCATGGGATAATGTTCATGGTGTTTTACAATATATGTCTTTACCCATGAATCTTCAACTAAAATTGTCTTTACAAAAGTTAACTTATGAAACTCTAATGCTACGTGTTTCAAATAAATTGAATTTAGAGCCCCTAAGTGGATTTAGGCTATCTTATCAGAGAAACTGTAAAGTTTATTTGTTAACCGACAATGAAGATGTTGAACGATTCATTGCTTACATTAGTGTTTCACAAGATGATGTTACATTGTATGTTGTTGAACCTAGAAGTAGTATTGTTGGGTCAGTAGCGGGTAGTAATCAACTAAGTTTTTCTCAAAACCCACAACCTTTCTCTAATCCAAATCCCAATCAACTTTCAGCACCAAATTCCGGTTTTCGTATTGACCAGTTAGACGATGATGAGCCAACAGAAAAAATTGTGAGTACTAGTCAGTATTCGAAATTTGGTCTTGGTCAATATCCGGACTTTGATATTGGTCAATACACGGATTTTGATGATGTTTCAGAAGAAGAAACATACCCTGCGTGTAATGATTTTGATATTGGTCAATACCCGAATTTTGATGATGAAACAGCCGTTGCCGAAGAATGTATTGTTGATGATAATGAGGAGGAAGTTACGACTGTGAATGAACATGTTGAACATCCATTCTGTAATTCATATAATCCTGAAGAAGAAAAAGAAGAAGAAAAAGTCCCCGAAGAAAAGAAAATGCCACGGGCGTATAACTGGAATATGCCAGAATTACTTCAGATACCGGAAGAAGAGTTGGTAAAGAAAGCAGTTGATTGTTACACAAAAGTTATTCGTATCAAGAAAGATGATTGTTTTGATACAAAGGAAGACTTGAAGATAGCTTTGTATACGAAATGTGTGGAAGATGGCTATCAACTAAAAGTTAACAAATCAAGCAAAGATCGTTTCGAAACAAGGTGTATGATTGACAAAAACTGTACGTGGCGTATGATTGCAAAGAGAATAAAAGATTGCGAAATGTTTCAAGTTAGGACTTTTATTGATAAACATACATGTTCAAGAACCCAAGTTTTTCCTCACCATAGACAGGCAAACAAAAAGGTGTTTGGTGGTTTTCTGGCTGAGTTAATGTTTTTGAATGGCAGGGTATATCGGGGACATGAAATTATGACTGACATGAATGCTCGGTTCAAGATTAGTATATCATATTCTCAAGCTTGGAGAGCCAAATGTTATGCCTTGGAATTGTTGAGGGGGTCGCCAGAAGCATCGTTTGCCCAACTGCCGGCTTATTGTCACAATTTAAAGCTGAAAAATCCTGGGTCGGTAACTCATATCAAAACAGATAGAGATGGACACTTTGAGTTGCTGTTTATCGCCATTGGTGCTACGGTTAGTAAATCAATATAATTTTGTTGACTCATTTTTGTTAGTTACATGCATTTCACATTTAAATGATTATATTTCTTGTGTATATTATTTTGTAGATTCGTTCGTTTATTACTTGCATGCGCCCAATTATTATAGTTGACGGAGCACATTTGAAAGGTCGATACCTTGGAGTAAACTTATTAGCAGTAGCCATGGATGCTAACAATGGGATATTGCCAATAGCTTACGGGGTTGGCAAATCTGAAACCTCTGATTCATGGACTTGGTTTATGGGGCATCTTAGGGATTGCATAGGTCCTATTAGCAATCTGACAATCATATCCGATAGGGCAAACTCAATTGACAACGCTGTTAGAAGGTGTTTCCCAGATGCTTTTCATGGACTTTGTGGTGTTCATTTGTATAGAAATCTAAAATCAAGGTCTGCTGGTATAAAAAAGCACAAATGGACATACTGGAAGGCTATAAAAGCTTATCGGGAAGTGGATTTCAATAAGCATATAAATTGTTTAAGACGTGTTTTGCCTCAGTGTGCTCAAACACTAGAAGATGTCGGGTTTGAAAAATGGTCAAGAGTACATCAACTTGGAGCAAGATATGGTTTCATGACGTCTAATAGTGCAGAATCAATCAACGCTCTAAGTCGTCATTCCCGGAAATTACCCATTACTATGTTAATGGAGTTTTTTCGAGCCTCTATTCAACAGTGGTACTACAAGAAAAGAAACCATGCATGTATTATTTCTTTGAATTCGTAACTTATCATATTTATATATTTTACTAAGTATTGTTTATTTAAATTTACAGGAACATTGGAACATCGTGTTACACCATGGACTGAAAAAAAGATAACGAAACGTGTTGTGAAGTCAACGTCATGGAGAGTTGAACCATGTTCAAACACTTTGTTTCAAGTACTGGATAATAACTTAAATAGGCTAGTCGATCTAAATGCAAAGACGTGTAGTTGTATGAAATGGCAAACATCTGGTTATCCGTGTGGCCATGTTATAAAAGTTGCTCTTCATTTAAACCAAGATGATTCAAGCGCATACGCTATGGATTGCTACACTACAGAAGTTTATCGACAGACTTATGCCGAGATTGTCTACCCTATTCCACATCCTTCTGAGTGGGACATACCAGATGACTTACAAACAGTTTTGCCACCAGCCATGGACAGAAGGCTACCTGGCCGACCAAAAAGTCACGATCGTATACCGTCTAAGGGTGAAGAGAAGAAGAGATCGACATGTAGTCGGTGCAAGGAAAGTGGTCATACAAGGTTGACATGTGGATCACCAGTGCCATCAAAATCATCTTTTCCTCTACCAAAATATGGATCCTCATCAAAATCCAAAGCTCATATGGTGTCAAGCAAAAGGCAATCATCTTTAAAATCCCAATCACAATTGGCTTCACCTTTTGGGACTGTTAACTTAGGTGATTTTTAAATGCAAACGTTGTATTATGTGGATTTTATGTGTGAACTTTTAACATTTTCAGTTGAATTAATGACTCAGGCCAACCATTTTGACTTAACCAACTCTTGTTATTCAGTTGTTATCACTTATTAGGCATGCATTTGACTATCGCAACACGGAAATTACAATCGCAACGAGAGAATCGCAATGCGAAATGAAAATCCCAACATGAAAATCGCAATGCGGAAATGAAAATCGCAATGCGAAATGAAAATCGCAATGCGAAATGAAAATCGCAACGAGAGAATCGCAATGCGGAAATGAAAATCGCAATGCGAAATGAAAATCGCAACGAGAGAATCGCAATGCGAAATGAAAATCGCAATGCGAAATGAAAATCGCAACGAGAGAATCGCAATGCGGAAATGAAAATCGCAATGCGAAATGAAAATCGCATTGCGATTCTCTCGTTGCGATTTTCATTTCCGCATTGCGATTTTCATTTCGCATTACGATTCTCTCGTTGCGATTTTCATTTCGCATTGCGATTTTCATTTCGCATTGCGATAGTCATTTTTGCCTTCAACATAATGCAGATTGAAATCAACAAAATCAACCATTACATTTCAATCAATTAAACAAGCACAAATAAGAATTATGTTCGCATCAATTACACAAATCAACTTTTACAAATCATCTTTTACAAATCAATTAAACAATCAAAAATAAGCAATAATTCTTATTTCCAATCATCTACTATTGAATCAACTTTTACAAATCAATTAAACAATCAAAAAACAATCAATTAAACTATTGAATCAACTTTTGCAGCCATACATCATTTTCACGCAGTTCACTTCTGAGATTAACCTGCAGAAACCAAACATTTGCTCAAACAACACTTTCTACACATCTAAAACCTACAAACAGCAAATTATTGAATTCTAGGTACTTAACCAAACATTTTCAAACCAAAAGTCTATAAACTTACCAATTGTTTATGGACATTTTTATAACGCGGATGCAGGTAGGCAGCG